ATACCTGGTCAAATCTCCTTTTTTTCAAACACAAATAACAATGGTAGTACACATGTCTTTAATGACATTAATAAAAGTTACACCAGAACCTTTCTTCTCTAAAGCTCTTTGAAGGACTTGTCTTAGAACCCTATCGTAAGCTTTTTCTAAATTAATAAAAATCATTTGTAGATCTTTCTTACTCTCTTTGTACTCTTCCATCAAGACTCTCAATAAATGTATAACTTCCTAGATAAAACTTTCTGGAATAAAACCAAATTGATTATAAAAAATCTTTATATCACGTCTTAACCTATGTTTAATTACCCTCTCCTATAATTTTAAAGTATGACACATTAACTTCATTTCTCTATAATTTACACACTCTTGTCATCTACTTCATTCTTAAAAATAGGAATCAAAATGCTTTTCATTCACTCAAACATCTTTTTAGTTTTAAAAAAAAAAAATTAAAGGGTTTATTAAGCCAAGAAACTCCTGAATCTCCTAAATATTTCCACACTTTAATTGTGATATCATCAGGTTCTATTGATTTTCGATCCTTAAATTTATTTAAAGCTTCTTCAACTTAGTTTGTACTAATGTGACGGTAAAAATAAATTATTTTTTTTATAATTAACGGTAATAAAATTACTAAGATCAATCGTACTTTCAGAAATTCCATTGAAAAGTATCAATATAGCTCACCCACATATGTTGAATATCTTCTTTCAAGAAAACACTTTTTTGATTTTCATCTTTTATACACTTTACTTGAACTAAACCTTTACTTTTATTTTTTCTTTGTTTGGCTAGTTTATACATATATATTTTCATCATCTTTAGTACTAATTTATTATAAATATCACTAAAAGTAAAATTTTTAGCATCACAATTTGTTTTCTTGGATTGTCTATGGGTCATCTTATATTTTTCATAGTTCTCAAAGCATTTACACTTAAATCAATTTTTATAATATAATTTCTTATATTTTATCTTTTCTTGTACATTATTATTCCACCACAATTTGTTTTTTATTTATATATAGTTTTTTTTTCCTTTTGATTCTACAGATACGCCTTTCGCCACTTATTTAACAGTGCTCGTTACTTTATTTCACATAGAATCAGCTTCTTCATGAACAACCCAAATAATGAAACTTTGAAGTTTGCTCATAAAAAATATTTTTTCTTCTTTCTTTTAAGTGCTCTCATCTAAATCTATGATAATATCTATAGTACTATTTAACTTGCAACTCCTCATTTTAAAATTAAGAACTAGTAATCAATGTTAGGTACTTAAATTTTCACTCGAAATGATCTTACAATCCTTACATTATTCACAATATATTTTTCTCATAACAAAATAATCAATTTATGATTAATTTGATTCATTCTTATAAGTAGTAATATGTTCATCTCTTTTTTTTAAATAAAGTATTAGTAACGACAAAATAACATAATTAGACTAAAATAGAATGAAGGTTAATTCAATGCCAAAAAAATTTTTAAAAGCCAAGCTCGATTTAAAGTTATTTAAACTTGTTAGAGAATAATTTATATACAAATAATTATAAAAATATACCAAGAAAAAATATTTTCTTTCATAAATGTAGGCTTAAGATTAGCTCAAGCGTGAAAGCACAACAAAAGTACTAAAAGATAGAAGAGATAAATATATAAGTAATGACTAATGAACCCCCTAACCCAGGCTTAGCTGGCTAATAGGAGTATTATTGAAAGTTAATTATCTATGTACATATGTATATGTATGTATGTATGTGTCAAAAGTTAATTATGCTCCTTTATACCTATACAGCGATCATTCACTCGACATGTGGGACGTATTGCTACTTATCTATTCACCGGATAACACACATGTTTGATTATAAGTAGTTGGATATCCCCCGGCATTATTTCCACCACATACACGTGGCGATGTAAGAACCTTCTCTGAAACTGTTCTGTGTATGAGACGGAGCAGCAAGTTTTCCAGGCATTTAAGTATACGTTAATTGAATGAAATAATGCTTCCCACACTCAGGCCTAAAATATTTATATGATATGTTATAATACCAGTTGAAATTTAATAATAAGTTATTAAAAAATAATTTGTTTTTCAGATGATTAATATATATATATATATATATATATATATGGAAAAAAAACTCCACTGTATCAAATTAGAAACAGTATGAAAATGTTGATTTTTGAAAAAACTGTCAAAATCCAGTTTAACTAAACAGGTCTACGTGAGTTTTCTAAAAGCACCGCACCAAATAAGCTGCCCCAAACGGGTTCGTAAAATATCGTGATGGGTTTAAAGCGTAAGCACAATTAATCTATTGGTTTAACATTATCATTTCAAAATATATAAATAATGATTTAGCTTACCAATTTCATATAAGAGAGCAACCAACATTGACTATCCCATATGTTTCCAAATGTTTAAACTATGCGGGAACTTTGCTGAAATGCTGAAATATAATTAATTTTTTTTCGCAAAAAAAATATATTATATGATGTCAAATTTTAAATGATATTGTTAAAATTCATAAAAATATTAATGTTATATTTGTAAAATTTCAAAACGCCATTAATATTAAAGATATTTTATGCACTTAGATTTTAGATTTGCTGGTTATTGACATCATGAATAAGGGTGTAAACGAGCCGAACACGAGTCGTTTATATTTCGAGCTCAAAAAGTGTGTTAATGTTCGGCTCGTTTGCTTACCGAACCGGACACGGGCCGTTCACGAATAAAAAGTCATTTTGACAACCTTAATCACGTAGCCATAAGATGTTAAAGATTGAGGTAAGATTTAAAACATCATTTGAATCTAATTTAATAATTTTTATTCTATTTTCTTCATTAATACTTTTAAGTGATTATAAATCTTTGTAGCCTTATAGTCAATTAAGATTTTAAAAAATACTACTCATCAACGATATATAAATAATTGATTAGTAGTATTTCGAGCTAAAATGAGTCAAACATGAACGAATAAATATTTATTCGTGTTGTTCGTTTTCAGCTCGTTAACTTAGCGAACGAGTCGAACACGAGTTTTTTTAACGAGCCGAACAAGAGTTGTTTGCAAACAACGAGCCGTTTTGACAGGCCGAATCACGAAAGGTCATATATACTTTTGTTTTTATTAAATGTGTAAGATAGTAAATATTTGTTTTTAGTGGGCACAAATTAATAATTTTAAAGATAATCAAAATATTTTTTTATCCAAATTTGGGTTTGACATTGATGATTTTTACTTTTTTATTATATTTTTAAAAAAAAAATTATTAGAAATATGCTGATAAAAATTAAATGTAAAAAAAGAATAGGACTTGAAATAGTTGTATAATCATTTTATTAGATTGAAATTACCTTATTTCTTTTAAATTCAATGTGCTTGAATTTATACATATTTTTATTTTCAATACTATTTATAAATCATTTATTTTAAAATGTATAAGAAATATAAATTAACTATATTACTAATATTTTAAAGCACTACATAAAGAAGAGTTAAAAGTTAAATATAAATTATAAATAAAAATAAAAATTTATTTAAAATTTTGATTTAAATTTTATTTAAAGTTTGATTATTTTTTATATTATTAATTAATAAAAAAATTCAAATAAAGAAAAGCAATTTCATTTAACCCTCGGGAACAAGTTAAACGGTTGACACGAAAGATTTGGGTGATATAAATTTAAGAAATAGAGTTTAGTTGTTAGATATGTAAATTCATATGAATCGGGTGGTATGTATGTAAATAACTCCTGTTTAGGATGGAAGCTTTCAAGTGAAAGTTTGTTAGTTCTTACCCTTTAGTTCCATATCTGAAAATAAAAGATTTTTTCAGTTTCTTAAATCGAAAATTAGAGATACACCTCCAAAGCATTAAAAGGTCCAAATGAGCTTGCAGGCTAACATGATGTAATTACATTATCATTAGAAGTCTTTAAATATAAAAAGTAATTTTGGATTTGAAATATATTATTTTGATTTGTTAAGGTCGAATAGCTTGATCTAGACAAGCTCAAATGAAATTTTAAAAGCTTGAACCAAGTTGAGCTTGTCAACTCGAACAAAATCAAGATAAATGAGATCAAAACCCCGCTCTGTTTGGTTTATTACTTCATCTGAAATAATGCTGGCATATCTCTTTTTCGACCTAAAGAATTACAAGAGTCATCCTCATTATAGCTCAACTCATGAAAATATATGTGAAGGACTTATTATTATTATTATTATTTATTTTATCCAAGATTAGAGGTTATTATACGAGCTCTCAGCCACCCTTATGCTCATGTGTCTAACTATTTGAAGACCACCCTCATTACCAACAAATTATCATGTTCACTTATTCTCTTTTTCAGAGGGATTTTTTTTAATGTTATTGATATTTATCATATTTATTTTATCCAAAGTTAGAGACTATTATACGAGCTCTCAGCCACCCTCATGCTCATGTGTCTAACTATTTGAAGACCACCCTCACTACCAACAAATTTGACAAGAGAAGTTTTTATAACTAAGAGATTTAAATTTGAAATACATTACAATTATCATGTTCACTTATTCTCTTTTTAAGAGGGATTTTTTTTAATGTTATTGATATTTATCATTTTGACAACTCTTAATATAATTGGCGTTGGTCCTAAATTTTCCAGAAAGTTATTTTTTAAATATATATATTATTTCTTATTATATTTTTTAACATTTTTTCCAAAATTTTAAGAAAAATAATGCTATATTTCAGTGAGAATCCAAAGAAATCGAGGAAAAGAGCAGGTCGGTCGAGTAATGCCATGCGCTAAACGACAAATGCAGGAAGCTCGCCGCTTATGCCTGGCGAACCCGGGGCAGATGCCGCGCGCTACTCCATACCACATCCCGAGACACGTGTACGGTTGGATATTACTTCGTTGACCTCCTTGATCATGAAGCTAACTATAGTTAACAACTGCGGTTAAGACGCCGCATTGATACTTCCCCCTTCTTCCCCCCCTCCCCCTCGTTCAAGTCCTCAGTGTACCTCCGCTTTTTGTCTCTTTCTCTCTCTCAAGCCTAAGCTCTGCTCCGCGCCCGATAGCCGCCGGCAATTATCAAACAGCCACGAGTTGAAAATCTGTGGTGGATTGCGGGAGAGTTAAAAACGGGAGCTTTGGCCGGAGAATTAGGAGTTTGGAGGCCATTGTCAGTGTATCTCTGCTTTTGAGCTGCTCATGCCGGTGGAATTTGAAGGCTCCTCTTATAGGACGATGTCGAACTCTGCCTCCGGCGAGACGAGTGTTTCCTCCGGCCATCTTACGGCACCACCTTCTCTTCCGCCGCCGGCGAAGAAGAAGAGGAATCTCCCCGGAATGCCAGGTATGCGCGAACAAGAAGATACTGCTTTCTCATCTTGTGAGCGTAAGAGATCATCTTTTTAATTTTCTTATGTATTATGTATTAGATCCCAACGCGGAAGTGATTGCGCTATCTCCAAAGACTTTAATGGCGACGAACAGATTCGTGTGTGAGATCTGCAACAAAGGGTTTCAGAGAGACCAAAACCTGCAACTTCACCGTCGAGGGCATAATCTGCCATGGAAGCTCCGGCAGCGAACAGGGAAAGAAGCGAGAAAGCGGGTTTATGTATGCCCGGAACCCGGTTGCGTGCACCATGATCCTTCTCGAGCTCTCGGTGATCTCACCGGCATCAAAAAGCATTTTTGCCGGAAGCACGGGGAGAAGAAATGGAAGTGCGACAAGTGCTTGAAGAAGTACGCGGTTCAGTCCGATTGGAAAGCACACTCCAAGACTTGCGGAACAAGGGAGTATCGTTGCGACTGTGGAACACTATTCTCACGGTACAAAAATGAAGCAATATGTTTATATGGTTAACTAGTTTTCATTTAACTGATTTGGTTTGGGATTTGTTTGCAGGAGAGATAGCTTCATAACACACCGTGCTTTCTGCGACGCACTTGCGGAGGAGAGTGCGAGAACGCAGACAAACGCGACGGCGGCGGAGAAAGAGCCAAAGCTGACTATAACGGAGGCTGCAAGCTTGCAGGAGAATCAAATGGCGCCGCCGCCGCCGGATCAGAAAGGTTTGCTGTTCTTCTTTTTTGGGTTTGATTAAAAGCTCGCTTTTTCTTCTTTTTGGACTAGTGTGAATCTGGTATCTTGAGGTTCGTTTTTTTATTTGGTGGGAAGTGGAAACAGCGATGGTCTGGGAAGAGGGGTTTTCCGTTGTTTTTTGTCTGCTCTGCTCAATAAAAAATCGGAGTTGATGGTCTTTGCGACTTACTTTTGTGCGCGGGTGATTAGGGTTTTGGATTTGTGGAAACTGATGGAGGGATTTCTGTGTCAATCTGCATTTTTCTATAGTGATTACGTTTCAAAAAGCCGCTTTGATGGAAACTTTACTACATTTTCGACTTTCATTTTCTTAATGGAGCTTTCGGTATACCTGAACTCCAAAAGAGAGCGAGTTTGTAAAGATTAATAAAAGAGATTCATCATACATAAATCAGATGAATCAAAAGTTAGTTACCACGATGCATCTTTGCCTGCTACCTTTTTCTCTGTTTAACCTTTAAAGTTTGCATTTTTATTACAAAAAATTGTTGGTTGGCTGTTACTTTAGTCTGACATCTCTGCCCTGTTATTATTCAGAGCCGGAAAACACCCCCGGAATTCTTCAATACCTACACCAGCCTCCGCTCGCACCAGTGTCGATTTCCATGAATTGCAGCAACAGCAGCTGCACAACCACTAGCGGTGGAAGTAACAGTCTATTTGCATCCACGGCTGCAACGCAAAGAACATCTTTTTCGGATCTCATCAGTTCCATGAGTCGGTCTGAAGTGGAACCCCCTTCCCTTTGCCTCTCCTCCAATGGTCCTTCATCTCTGTTCCCTCCGGCTGCTGATCGCCGCCAATTCTCTGGGATGGCGAGCTCAGCTCATATGTCAGCAACTGCTCTGCTGCAGAAGGCTGCTCAGATGGGTGCTGCGGCATCAGGCTCTTCCTTCCTCCGTGGCTTTGGTCTCGCCGAATCATCTTCTCCGTTGGCCATCGGTGGCGGTGGGGACAGTCAATGGAACGAACCGGCATCGATTTCCGCCGGGCTTGGGCTAGGCCTCCCTTACGACAATGGCTGCACAGTGCTGCCGGATATGATGATGGGTTCTGCTGTAATTCTCGGTTCAAAGCCTGCGGCGACACTGGACTTCCTTGGAGTGGGTCCTGCTGGTAGTGCGAATGCCGGTGGCCTGTCGGCATTTATCAACTCTATCAGCGGAGGAGGTCTTGAAGCCTATGGTCGTGGCCGGAGCACGTCACCGGCTAATGCCTGGGATAGCCGTGGCGATGGTGACTTGAAAACCAGCGGCAGGGCAATACTGTGATTATTGCGGCAAGTGATTTTTTAGGGAAAAACAGGTGAAGTTGAGATCTTTTTGCTGCAAAATGCTCAAATTGATAACTTTCAAGCGAATTTGTATGAAATTGAAGTTATTTGGGGATTTGGTGATGTGATTTTTTTAAAGGTAGTATCTCTTAAGGTTGGGGGGTGGGGGGGAAGAAGGTGGACAAAAGGGGCTGTTCTTCTGCTTCTGGGAGCTCATTCTAATTTAATACTTTTCTCCTTTGTTTTTTGTATGTAAGTAATAAAGAAAGCTGGAATTCATGTAGCCGTGGCTTATCCTTATACTGCAAGATCATATTTTTTGTATTTTTTTTATGCGCATTGTTGGGAGGGCTCGCATGTGATTCGTCGTATTAGGCGGCAAATGTTTTTTCTTGCGGGGAATGATGCTCTGTTGGGATTACGGAATGGGTGATTGTGGTGTGGCGGCAGGATCACCGTTTATAGCATTGTGGGCGCGAGTCTGGAGGTGGTTAAAGCTCAACTGTTTATAGCCCATGGATGCGCTTTAAGAGTTGTGCTGTGTAGATCAATTTTTATTTTCAATTCATTTATATTTATTTTGATATCGCATTTTTTAAAAATAAAAGAATGTTATTTAAGATTATAGGTAACTAATGCTCATTTTTTTAAAGATATTTGATCATTAGTCTTACTCATCTCTTACTATGAAAGTAACCTTAAAGATGAATTTTTGTAGTAAAGTGTCACCAGTCTTTTGACTATTTATATGGGGTTATTTTAGACTCGGTATTTATGGAAGCGTCAAAATAGTCATATTCTTTAAATTGAGATCGGAATAGTTTTCATGTAGAATCATTAGAGCTCAATTTTAAAATAACTGAGGATTATTTTGATACTTTTATAAGCTTTGAGATTAAAATGATTTATTGTAAATAGTTGGGGACTATGTTGGCTCTACCCATTTATGTGAAATAATGGATTTTTGGTGGATGAAATTTGAAGATGTCAAAAGGTTTAGCTCAAGGGAAATGATAGAGGTTGCTGTGAAGTTAGTTTTTCACCATGTTCTTAATTAAATATTGAAGGAGAATTCTAAGGTGATTTACCCTCTTTTATAAATCTAAAATATTTTATTAAAAATAAATTTGATGACTAGTATATTAGGCTTAGTATCTGTCTCTTCACCAATTCTAATATGAGACTTATTGTGGTAAGTCTTCTATGCCTAGTATTTCTTGGATGTTAGAAATTTAACTATGATGAAGGATTGTTGTTTTTAATTCTTTATAGAATAGTTTTGTTTATATTTATTTGTGGGGAAACTTCCATAAGTACCACATAATTCTTATCTATTTAACTACCTAACACTCAAATTTTTACCTTTGTAAAAGAAGATCTTATAACAAAGTGTATCATTTTAGGTTGTCTATTACTTCCAAAAATTATACTAGTTACTCTTTCTATGAGGAGAACTGAAGCAAAAGATTGGAGAGAATTTAGGGATTTGTGAAATCTTAGTGCTTCACCAGACAAATGCTGTTGGATTGCCATCGCCTATTCTCTACACATCAACCATCAAACAATAGTTATCGTCCATTGCTATCAGACTATCATTACTTGACCTCTATAATTGGAATGTCTTCATCAGACAACCACCATAAGGTCGCAGTAGTTTGAATGCCAACGTCAGATTACCATCTTCTTGTCGTCCTTATCAAATTTCCACCACCCTAATGTAATAATCAAATTATTGTAAAAAAAACTCACTCTACTCGTTAAGTCGCCTCCAATAGTTGTTTGTTAGTATCATATCTCCACCGCCATTAAATTGCTGCCATTACCAGACCATTGCCACCTAACCATTGTTCAAATTCCACCATCCAGTTGTTATCATTGGATTACTAATATTTTATTGTTAGCATTGGGCTCCCACTTATCAAATATTATTATCAAGTACTCATTGCCTAACCTCCATCATTTGGTCATCACAACCTCAAAATTGTCATCAAAATCGTGGTGAAATTTTCATTGGCAAACCATCAAAATTAGATTGCCACCTAAATGTTAATGTCAAACCACATTCACATGATTGCTTCAATCAACTTCCATTACCATCAAGCCGTCACCATCATAGATGCTGACATATGACCACCATCATCCAAACATTATCACCAACATGTTATCATCATCAACCCACCATCATTATCAGGTTATCGTTGGCGATCATCACCATCATCTTAATGCTACCTAACCAACTTAACTAATCTATCGTCATTGGACTGACATGGCCTTATCATAGTCATTGATCCACCATTATTGACAGCTGATAGTTGCCCATTGCTACCTTTAAATCATTGCTATCAAAATGCTTTCATGAAACTACCGACATTCGACCTCCACCACCGACCATTGACGTCTCAGTGTTGTGGTTGACTACCAACCACCACGTTTTGACTGCTACAATCATCAAGCCACACTATTGCTAAATTATCCTTATGAGCATCACTATCAAACCATTCTTTTTTACCACTACCATAAGAATCACTTTGTTATTAGACTACCATAATTACTAGACCACCACCTTCTCACCACCATCACTAGGCTTGCAGTGTTTTCCTGCCATCACTTAGTTTTTGTTGTCAGTCTACTGTACCATATTATTATTATTGTACCATCATTATCAAGATGTCATTGCTTGGCCTCCATCACCATGTTACTATTACCTAACTAATGTTAACAACCCATCATCATTGACTACCATCTATAGACCTCTATTATTTGATTGTTATCATCCTATTGTCGCCCTATCACTATCACCTTATCATCTCCATCAAACTATGGTCATCTGAACATCATTTTTCAAATACAAATGTCGCCTAACTGATGTTAACAAACCATCATCATTGACTACCATCTATAGGCCTCTATTATTTGATTGTTATCACCCTATTGTGGCCCTGTCACTATCACCTTATCATCTCCATCAAACTGTGGTCATCTGAACATCATTTTTCAAATACAAATGTCCAACAATCATGACTCAACTTTAATCACCCATATATTGTGGCCCAATCTTTATCAAACATATATGTTTTATTAATAATGGTCTCTCCACCAATGATCTTCCAACCACCATCATATGACTATAGTTGTTTTATCATTATTACCCAACTATGGTCCTCAATTATAATCATCTAATTATGATATTTTGACTATCATTTGCCAAATACATTCTTTTGACCTCCATCACTCAATCATAATTTTTCGACTTCTATGCTGCTCACCAATTTCCATGCTTGTCAATATTTATAAAATTGATGCACTTCATTAACATGTCATCGCTTATTAGGCAAATGCATATACTTAACACCAATAGTGATGCTTACCAACTTCATTATTTAAAATCATCACACCATCATCAATAAGACTAATGCATGTCGTTGACTTCAACTTTAACTATTGACATCAAAAGTAATCTTTATTACAGAATTGGTTGTCCTTGATTTTTTTTTTCTTTTCACTTTATAAAAGTGACCAAATATAATAAAATGGTCTCTTGAAGACAACTCTAATGCATTCATGATCCTCGAACTTCCGTCATAGAATCGATTTGTTATAGTTTATGTCTACTACAACATATAAAAGCTTTCTACTAGGCACTAGTGATATCATTTCAATTGGACATCAAATTTTTTTCGTCTAAAAATAATCTACATTGTACTATTCATTAATTCAATTACAAGTATTCATATTCCTCTCTCTTTTGAGCACTGAGTTTTAGTCATTTCTTACAACCTTTTGAGCTTCTTGTAGTTTTGTAATAAGTACATATACTTTTATTATTTATATCTTATTATAAATTTATAA